CCTCCCCGCCAGGGGGTCCCTTGTTCAGCCCCCGCTCCCGCCGGAACTGTCGCACGCGCTCGCCCCGGGAGAGGCCTCGCGACAGATCCTTCGCGCCGACGGTGGCCCTGCGGGGGCGGGGGGGGGGGGGTACTCATGTAAGCGCATGCCGTAGTTGTTAGACCATTGGCCTCGCACCCCTACATTGTCGGGACTGAGCGATGTGGGGTAAGTTCAGGAGGGTAATACAAGTGTTGCTGGTGTAACCCCCTTGCATGCCGGTGGAGCAAGTAGGACGCCTTCAGCGTGGACAAAAAAATAATGTGAATTTTCGCTCTGCACTGCGCTTTCAGATTAGGGTCGTCTACACACCGAGCACCCTCCGTTTTTTCGAGATAAAGGACCATCACCTTGGGAAAGCATCGTTAGGACACCCTCCAAGCGCTACTCGGCTCTGCACCGTCCAGTAGACAACCGGTGACAACGAAAACCGTAAGCGTTGGATGTGGTCGGCTCCGGCACAGACACAAACCCACCGCATCCCCCAACACACCACCAAAAAACGCCGACCGCGTTACGAAACGAAACCAAAACCCATTAGACCAGATCAGCCGCTGAGAGGTCTTGGACCTGTCTAACGGTTTGGATCTCGGCAGCGAAAAAAAGCAAGGCGTGGGTTCCTTCTCTTCGTGTCGTAGCCTCAGCTTCAACGCCAGTTATCCTTCGTAACGAACAGGTGTCTCATCTCCTCCTTCGCGGAAGTTGTTTCGAACTCTGGCCGCGCATGATCCTCTGTGCAAATGTCGCAGCAAGCCTGATGGTTTCGAGTCCCAGACTGCATACGTACTTACCTATGCGTGAGACCTTGGTAGCAAAATCGAGTCGTAGGCTGAACAGCTATTCTTACCGAGATCACCCGCGGGTTGCGCAAGCGCGCAGCACACCGGTCAGTCACACCTGATTAGATGGGAGATGTCACACCTGATTAGATGGGAGATGCGGCCGAGAACAGGCGGGTCCGGCCAGAGCTCCAGCCTACCCACACGGATATCCATCGATCGCTTCACCAGGCCCACGCCGACCTCTCCCCCCGCCTCCCGCACCCCAACCCGCCCCCCCCCCCCTGCAGCAGAAGCAGCAGCAGCAGCAGCAGCAGCAGCAGCGGCGGCGGCCGCGGCGGCGGCCGCAGTACTCCCCCCTTGTCTCGTCCCGGCTGCCGCGCTAGTTGCGTGGACCCCTCCGACACCGCCGTCGGAATTGCGGGGGTCGCTGCCCGCGTTGTCCGTGCCTGTTCGTGGCAGGGAAAGGAATAGCAGCAACAGC